ACCATTATCCGTGGTGACAAGGGTTCTCCAACAGGCGCGCAAGGACATATGAAGTAGAGCCCAATCTTCTAACTATCCATCGGACGTGACAGAGACTGCAAGATTGTGGTTAGCCAGGATGTTGCCTTCTTTAACTTCGTCAACAGCACCACCATCCCTCCTCAAGAAAATACAACAAGAGCCAAAGATGTCTGGCGGAAGACACAGAACAGGCATGGAACAAGCTGAAGAACATCTGGCGAAAAAGTCCGATACAAACGGTAATGCAACCGTGACACAGCAGACTTTTTGTTCCTGTCAGGAAATTATGGGAAATGTGAGTTTAGAGGTGGTGACTGCATGAAAAGGTGGAGGACAAATTAGTCTCACATTTAAAAATCTCTGAAATGCATAAACACAATAGTAAAACCAATAGAGACATGACTGCAGTGATGGCATGATACCATAGAAAAGTGCCACGTCCTCTGCTGTCCTGGCAGAGAGTTGCTTTGCAACGCTGACACGCAAATGGAGGAGTATAAAAGAAACGTTCCCATTAATATGTATACGTGTGTGGGTGCTAATTTGTTGATGAAAAAGTAGAAACTCTGCTTTAGACTCAAAGATTTCCTCATTTGTCTCAATCAGGTTCATGAAAACGTGCAAAGGAAAACAATAAATATACACTTCTTAGCATTTCTCCGTAACCCAAAACGTTTGCATTGTCTTGGTTAGATGGGGACCTTAAACATTGCATAAAATGTGCAATATGTTTGCCTTCAATCCTCAAAGTACACTGCAACTACATTTATATAAAAAAAACACACAAATAAATGAATGTGTTCAAAAGATCTCAAAGTAATTAAAACACTGTCAATCTTTAGTGAGGAATGCATCCTTTAATGGGCCGATGACAGCCGACACTGAATTCATGCCACTGATCTTTTAATGTTCATTCTCTTACAAAACAGTGGCAATGCTCTTTTCTGCAGAATGCAGAAAAGACGTTGATACCTTGCATAAAGCTGCATTAGACAGGCAGTATTCTCACCATTATGTCTCAGTGGGAACACTCATTCCTGATCAGTATGGGTCATTAATCTTCTTTACATCTCCATGACAACCATATCATTTTTTTTCTACAAGAATGGAAATAGTTTATTTTACAGATCACAGTGTTTGACTATTTATTTGTTGCACCCTCATGTCTATGAAAGCAGATTCTGTGTCCTGCTTTTATTTGCTTCTGTTTTTCTAAAATATCACTCTTTTTAATAGCAAAAGCATGGAGCTGACAGACAAAAGAAAGAATGCACTTCCAGGATTTTACATCTCTTTAGCCCTTTTGTTGCTGCAAACTTCAACATCCGCAGGTGGAAGTAAGACCTGCTGACAAAGCACACTGAGTCAAAATGACCTTATTTTACATTTATCATCCACCAGTACCCCTCCATTCTGTGACGCTGTGTTCAACTGAGGTAGGAGGAATTCTTGCACTAAGGATTAGGCTTCTAATCATTTGTGTATCACACCCCCTAATGTGGATAGATGTTTGCATGTCTTACAGGTCATTTTACTGGTTTAAAGGCGTAGCTGGGCCATTTTAAAGAGTGTCTGAATAACTGCTATGGTACATGTTGTAGATAGTCCTCTGAACACCTAATATAAACTCCTTAATGTCCTTCAGGCCTGATAACCTGCCAAATCAGCTACTATAAACCAGCTAAGACCAAAGTTTATTGATGCAGTTTTAAAACAGCAAATATCCTGAATTTCATTGCAGCTCATTCAAACATCACACACAGTGCTCCACATAAATGAGTACACCCCACTACATTTGTCAGGAAGCCTTTACCTTCCTTTCAGAATCAATGCTTTCTATGAGATACCAAACTACAAAATACTACCACAAATGTGCGCCATTGATTGCAAATAAGATTTGTTAATTTGCACAAACAAAAAAGTGATTTTCCTAACAAATCCATTCAAGACCATGTTGCAAAAATGAGTAAAACTATAGTGTTAGGAGAAAGGCCACACTTAAGACTACAGAATTCAAATTAACCTCAGACGGGTGACTATTGAAGGGCATTACTTTACAAAGAAACGTCCTTCCCATTCAGGCTGTCATCGGTGGCTTCACGTCGAAGAGCAATGTCACAAATCTGAGAAAGGGAAATCATTTCATTACATAAAAAAGTTGAGGGCTACAAGAACATCAGCAAAGCTTTAGATATCAGTCAGAATACTGTAGCAAATGCGATCCAAAAATTTAAGAAAGATGGAAGTGCAACCATCTTACAGAGACATCCAGACTGTCCACAGAAGGTGACATCTTGACAGGAGCCTCTTCTGATGAGAAGGGTAGAAGAAAATCCCCGTGGAAGTTCACTGCATTTAGCTAAAGCAATATAATACCAAACTGGAATTCCCTTGACACCATACGGCACACGCTGCAGAGAAATGTTATGCACGGGTATCGTCTACGAAGGAAGCTTCTCCTAAAGCCCATGCACAAAAAAGCACACCTAGGATTAGCTAGGGCCCATGCTGAAAGAGATGGACTACTGGGACTCTATAATCTGAAGTGATGAGACAAAGATCACTGTTTTTGGAACTAATGGTTGAAAAGCCGAATGGTGTCATAAAGGTGAGGATTTCAAAGAGAAATGCCTGTTGCCCACAGTGACTACGTTTACATGCAGCCAATATCCGGGTTATGATCGGGTTAAGGTCGGTATTCGGGTTTCTGAGTTGATCAGAATGACCCGTTTACAAGCATAAATAGAAAGAGTTACCCCTAACTTGCATAACCCCAGTTAAATGCGGACGTTGGGGTAGCGTCAGGACGTGTGGACTACGTCCAGACGCAATATGCCTAATTTCCGGTTCTTCTTGTTCCAGTATCCGTCAAAACAACATGTTTCCCAGTTCAGAAGAGATAGCAACCGCGTTTGTTTGCGTTTTAGTTCCTTCGTCACTCCAAAAGTGTGGTGCTGTGCCGCGACTCACCATTTTGCTCCCAACTCGTTGTTTACTTCCGGTGTTCTGGCGCATACAAGACGTCTCGCTACTCAAAAGACCAAGATTCCTTGCGAACAGAGCATGTGCAGAACACACGCTTTGATGGGGAAATCCCGATATGCGTTTACACGACCAAACATTCGGGTTAGAAAAGGGTTACCCCAGGTGTAGTAACCGGGTTTTTAAAAACCCGGTTATGAGCATATCCGGGTTTTTCGCTGTGTTTACAAGGACCTGCGGAACCGGGTTATTGTGAATATTCGGGTTTTAAAAAGGTTACTGGCTGCATGTAAACGCACTGAGTGAAGCATGGTGGTGGCGGTGTCCTTATATGGAATGCATAAGTGCTGCTGGTGTTGGGGAGCTGCATATCACTGGAATCATGAACTCAACTATGTACTGCTCTATACAAAAGGAGATTTCACATAAATTTGTACTTTTTAAAGGGGTGTGTACTCATTTATGCAGCGTACTGTACATATTCATGAATTAACCATATAATGTAAAGTTGACAGTAATATAAAAGTTTATTTAGCAATGCTGGTTTGAATTTATCTGGTGATTTGAATACACGCCTTTTTTAGACATCAGATCTCTGTTTTTTATTGTGAATTTTTTTAACCTTAAAGCTAAAAATGACTTTAGTGTGTGTTTTCTTGTAAAGCACCTCTGGGGGTTCTAGGACTCTCGAAGGTGTTTTAAAAATGCAAGTGCGTTACCATTTTAGTCTAAATGGACCAACTCCATAGTGTACTGGCATAGCTTTCACGGTCAGATTTTGGCATTAACATTTTATTCCTTAACTGCTGGATGTAACAAAAGTTCTACATTTTGCTGCTGCTGATGACATTTAATAAATATTACATCCCATATAAATAGCCATGTAATATGCAATTAAAAATAATGATTTAAATAGTGAATTCCCCCACTTGAGATCAATACATTTATTATTTTTGATTCTATTCCATATTCAAAGTCTCATTAACTGCAGGTCAGATTTGAAGGTTGAAGCCATCTTTATGTTTTTGTTCAATTCAAACTCCAAAACACAGGAATGAAATGTTACTGCATAGATTATTTAAAAAATAATAAAAGTAATATTATTATAATAAAAATAACCTTTATAATAATAATTTTAGTAGTCTTGACTGCACTTGCACTAGCCGTTAGCTCATCGATCCAGAACAGTGGCTACCGATGTGATTTATTTTGGACCAGACCAGTTTTGTTAAAACAACTGTCCCGCGGACCAGAAGGGACTGTAAGTACTTATGTGCATAACCTATAGTTCAAATAATAAAATAAAAACTTTCAGCGATAAATGCTGACAGAAAAAAAGGCTATTATTATTTTCATAGATGTCTACCTTCTAGTAAAACATCAACTTATGTAGCGTTAAAGCATGCCCACCCTGATGTAAGCCATAAACGTAATTTCTCCAAACCGAGGCTGTTCAACAAGCTACCTTAGACAGATGCAATTGTAATTATTCAAAAGTCTTACACAGAAACACACTTTAAAAAGCAAAAATGCCTTTAATGTGTGTCTATGGCAGCATATTAACTCGTCTCAGTCCTTCACAATAAAAGCCCATGATAACCAGTGCTTAAGCCTGTTATTTCATCCTCTGTATCTTATTATAAATCAGATTAAAATTATATTATGTCATTTTTGCTATTAGAGCAGACGTGTATGAAATTTGAATTTAAATACGTTTTACCTGTAATCATTTTGAGGCTGATCTGGGAATAAGAGAACATGTTTAGTGTTTTAAAATCTTTTTTTTCATTTAATTTATCATTTATCATTATATTATTAATAATTTATTTTATTACTATTTTTTTTCATTTTGGGGTATAAACTCCCCGCTAGTCTGACGTTCACATCTTTACTGTTCATTCATCCCAATCTTGTCATGTAAAAGTGCGCAACTTTTCATCCAGGCGCAATGTTGTGACCCCCCTGCGAGTGTGCGCGCATGTTTTTCATTAGCAGCCGCTGTTTGGGCTGGGTCCACGGTGCAGTGGATGAGAAGGCGGTGAGTCAGTGGTACAGCGGGGCGGTACGGGGACGGAACGCTGCCTGGGAGCGCGTCGCGCATACCGAGGAGACCCGCTAATTGACAGCCGGAGGTACGGAGCGCCCCGTGCGGCTCACCAGCGGAGGACGTTAATCCCCCACACCCGTCTTGTGGAAGGCATCTGTGGGAAGCAGCGCCCAGATCAGCCTGACGCGAAGAGGCTGGAGGAGGCTCGGTCAAGCGCCGGGTTCGGGATGGACGTCCTGTCTTCTACCTGCTCAGTCCGAGCCCAGTGCTGACGTTTCAAACTCTCTCCACATGGATGGACGTGGTTTTCATCGCTTCTTCTTGGAGTAAAAGCGCTCATCCTCTCTGGATCTTATTTTTTTCCCTTTATCCATCTAATCAAGTACAAGTCTGGTTGCATTCGGGAGCCACATTGAAAAATCACCAAAGTGTAAAACAAAGATTTATCCTTTAAATTAATCTGGAATAACGAACAGACAGCGAGGAAACTCTTGGAACAAATTGAAGTTGAATTCTGGTGCGCATTTTGTGCGGACGGACGCTGAACCGCGGGAGTATTTGCGCCTTCCCCCCCCACCCTCTCTTATTTCTTTATTTGCTTTCCCGTTTTGGTTTAAATTCAGTAGCCAGTTTTCCCATGGAGTAGGCGGAAATCGACGGGAAGACTTGGAGCTTTTTCTCTGTGTGCTGGAACGAACGCGAGTGGATCTGATGCGCACATTCTTCTTTGGGTGGTGAATGTCCGATGGGGAATCATGAACAGCTCTTCTGAACTCGAAGATGGAACTCGGCATAAAACCCAGGTATGTTGTGTGTGTGTGTGTGTGTGTGTGTGTGTGTGTGTGTGTGTGTGTGTGTGTGTGTGTGTGTGTGTGTGTGTGTGTGTGTGTGTGTGTGTGTGTGTGTGTGTGTGTGTAGGTGTGTGTGTGTGTGTGAGGAGTGGTGCATCTGCTTGGTGCAATGTTACCACGCTGAATTTGGTGGGATGCCTCATGGACGAATCACTGCATGGTGCAATAGACAGTAGCTGCAGATCAGCTTTTTTTAAATCCTCTTGCAATCTAACTCAAACAAATCACACAAGTTCTTCATCATTTGTAAAAATGTAGGTATTTACAATATATATGTTTTTCAATCACTGCAAAGGGTGAACCATTTGCACATCGTCTCACATTTACTCATTTTCCCTCCATAAATGCTCAGCCTCTAGGTGAAAGGTTAATAATAACAGGAAACTGGCTCCCCACAAATGCCTTTCTGCAGCTTTTAACACCCCCCTGAGCTCGTTAGGCTGTCTGCCGCTCAGATGAATCGAGACAGGAGCGGACGTGCGTTGTGTTGCAGCCATGCAAGCTTACTTTAGGGAATTGGCGTTGTGTTTTCACAAGGTCAGTAGAGGGTTATTGACAGCCCTCGTGGGAGATGGGGCTCTTGTGGAGCACGGAATCAGATTTCAGGGGGCACCATTAGAGCTTGTCGCCACAATGAGCCCATTTCTCCTCCTCTAATTAAAGAAGGAGGACAGGTTGATGCTTGACCATCACTGACAACCTGATCCAAAGCTTCCCTTGGGTTTTTTTTTATATAAAAATTGCAGAACAGAATAATTCTGGATGCTTTTTCAAAGCTTCTACAGACTGCAGTAAGAATTTGGCCCAAAACAGCTCAGAAATAAATGCTTCAAAGCTCTTCAGTGTGCAGAATAAAACCTATCAGTGACACATTTCTGAAAGCCTTATTTACAGAGCAGGCAGGTGACGCTCCTTGACTTTCCCACTCACCTCCTTGGTAGCACCCTGAACTTATTGCAGCAGCGTTGTAGTTGTGCTACAGTTCATGTGTCATGTGTTGTTAGATTTGTCTTCTAGTATAATTAGAGGTTAGAGCTTGTTGCCTATAATCCTCTGAAGCTTTGTGTGAAAATATAATCGGTGTGCACATGGTTCTCATCTGCTTTCTGAATGCAAGAACGAGGCAGAAAAAGGGACTCCTGGGTGAAATCTGATTATTTGTCATGCTTGTGCTCTTCAAAAAAATCTGAATAGCTCAGTGATGCTGAGTGGCGAGCTTGTGGAGATGAAAAGGCAAAAGAAACGTCCCATAAGTTCAACACTTACTGCAGATCAGACAGCATCAGGGGACGCCGGACGAGATGAGAGGTTGTGCCTTCTTCCTTTGCTCTTGTTGTTTTACTGTCACACACACACACACACACACACGCACACACACACAGAGACTGAGAGTGTTCTCAAGTACGTGTGTGTGTGTGTGTCATCCCATTTTCGTCTCTAATCTTGATTGGTAACGCCAAGCCTTCATCTGCAGACTTGTGACTCTGACAGTCATCTCAGACACAGCAGGGATGGGTCAGGTAGTCGAGCTCTCACTCTGGTAGCGTGTGCTGCTGCGTCGCTGAAAGCGTGATCTTTCTGTTTTGTTGTCACCTTTGAATGCCCATTAAAATAAAGCTTTTAACCGTGTGACTGAAATGCAAAATGTGGTTTGTGTGTCTCATATTTACCGAACACGAACACGCAGCCAGTATAGCTGAGAGGGCGGCAGCGGGGCCCGGTGGGGTTGCCCTCTCGGACTGGAGGTAATCAATAGCACTCTGAGATCTCCTAACTTTACAGAGCAGTGTAAGGATTGTTTGTGCAGGAAAAAAGAAAAAAAAACTGACAAAGAAGCTGTGCCTTGCCAACTCACGCACAACCTAGGCACTTAATGGTCCTATAGGCTTCGCTTTAGAACTAAAGGCCAACACAGATCAAAGAAAAAAGAATTAGATCTATAAGTCTGCACACAATTAAACAATAGAGGTTCAATTACGTCTAAAAGCATCAAACACAAAGCTGTAAGAACCCCCACCCCACCCCCCCACCCCCCCCACACACACACACACGCACACGCACACGCTTTTATGGCATCACGTCAGAACCAAACTCAGCCACAACCCAATTAGAGCTGATATGAGGACTGCGTATCTCTCCCTGGCTTTATCTGTCTGCAGTAACTCACTTAAATGCACGCCCACACGTGGAGGCACAGACTGTTGTCGCTTCGCCGGCTTCATAATCTGCCATTTTGTCAGGACCCTTGGCATCACAAATCCCTGCAGAGGAAAGCCTCAAGTGTTGAATGTTGACGTGTAACTTTAACGCTGCGTAGCGCAGGTACCTTCCAACAGAATTCCGAACGTTTGAGGCCCTAAACAACAAATGTTGAGTGGCAGGGAAAAGAAAAACAAATTAAAAAGTACAAAAAATGTATAATTTGGACCTAGAAGACCTACGTTCAATAGTCTTACAGCAGTGTTGCTAACCTGCACCACATTCGGTTGAGGTACGTGCTGCATTTGATCAGGCTGAATAAGTCAGAGCAACGAAGTTCGTTGTGAAAAATAAACACTGGAAAAGTCAACATTAGGAAACAACAACATGTAGGTGCAGAGATTATAACATGCATGGAGGTCTTCATTAACACATTGCTTCTTCTATCAAATTTCAATAAAGCTGCTATAGTGAATCTATAGTGAAGCTAGGTTTGGAACGCTGTTTCTCCCTCTCTGATGTTATTGAGCCACAAAACCCTCACACCAGTGGAGTTCTGGGGGGCGACGGTGGTGCAGGAGTTAAGTGCTCGCCCCGTAATCGTATGGTTGCAGGTTCGAGCCCTGCTCAGTCTGTCGCTTTTGTGTCCTTGGGCAAGACACTCAACCCCCCTACCTGCTGGTGAAAGGAGGGACCGGTGGCAGTGTGTATGGTAGCCTCGCCGCTGTTATGGGCTCGACACACGGGAGGCGACATCGCCTCTCCTCCACTCATTTTCAATGAGACATGCGCGACAAAGCGATAATCGCGGGTCTCCCTCCTACCAAGCGAAACGCGAAAAACATGCGTGTGAAATTTTGCGCTCGTGCACGTGTCGTGCACAGGCGACCCAGCGACGCGATCCCAGAAAGTTTAAACATTTTCAACTTTTCATCGCTGTCGCTCGGAAGAGGACCAATCAACAGAGGTTTCATTCACTGACCAATGAGCGGACAGCATGCTCCGTACATCTCCGAGCAAACATGGAGGAGAAGTTGATTATTATTATGTTTATATAGTAAAATCAGAAGTAAGATTTCACATAACTCTAGCAGTACCTTGTGAAACATCATATCTACCTCTTTATTAACTCTGAACCACTTAAATAACCTTAATTCCCTCCAACCTGACACAGCCAAACAAAACAACGGAAGTTTCAATTTCGCCATGGAACAGAACGGGTAGACGGCTTTGCCGCTGGCCGCTGCCGTGGATCGCCTCCCGTGTGTCAGGTAATAAAAGGGATGAATTTCGCTGATCGCAGTCGTTTGTCGCCTCCCGTGTGTCGAGCCCATTAGAGCGCCCCAGGGCAGCTGTGGCTACAGTGTAGCTCACCACCACCAGGGTGTGAATGACTGATTGTGTTGTAAAGCACCTTGGGGGGTTCCAAGACTCTAGAAGGCGCTATATTAAGTGACACTGGTCAGTGACTTGATGCGATTTGCTGGGTTCCTTATACAGGAACGTTTTTACTGATTGGCTTAATGAACCGACCTGAATTGGAATGTTTACTACGTGAAATGCCTTGAGATGACTCTTGTCGTGATTTGGTGCCATACAAATAAACTTGAATTGAATTGAATGTTCCTTTGACTCATGGAGTACACTAAATTAAACGTTAATTTCCTGGAATAAAACAAAAACCTGATTCAGAGCTTTAAATCCCGGAAGGTTCCAGTTTTTTGGCTTTTGTAAAAATCAGAGAAATTCTGAGCTGTCTGTTGGTCACGCTCAACAAACTCACCTGGCATGGGTGCTTAAACCACAATTCTAAAGATTGTTTATTTCCTGCAAGAACAGCGATAGAATGCCATGGCGTGCAAATGCACATCACTAAAGACCTGCATGGTGCGATCTAGATCACCTTTGGTTTTCTGGTGAGTCAAATATCCATTTACCCAATAACGACCCATATATTTACCTCAGGAGTTCATAAACATGAAAACGGTACAAAAAAAGGTGTCAGGAGTTTCCTCACTGAATTAATGACTGTACACAAATTGCTGCTCTGTGTTGACTGAGCAAATGACAGCCAAGTTCTGCAAGAACTGAACATTAATCAACGATAAGTATGTATTTTTTTGTTGTTTTTTCCATTAAAGTTTATGGAATCAACAGCTGCCAGCCTAAACTGTCACTTGCCACAGCTTGTTAGAACTCGCTCTGCAAATTACAGCTAATAAGGCCCTACGTGCAAAGTGAAAATTGCCACCTTTTGAGTCAGGATTTTGATTAATTGTTCAACCTTAAAGACGATAATTAGAAAGTGCTTCTCTGGGTTGATGTGTCATGCTTTACTGATATAATCTTTCCATTTGTGCTAAAATACTTAATTATGAACAGTTTATAAAGGATGGCACCTAACATGCACATCGTTGCAGTGTGTGTGTGCGTGTGCATGTAGGTGTGTGTGTGTGTGTTAGACACCGGTTGTGTGGGTGCTTCGTCTGGGCTTCGTCTGCTGGAGGTAAGGGGGGGGGGGGGGGGTAATGTGGACTGAAGCAAAAACAGAGCAAAGAGACTTCCCTGGTTCACTGGGTCTGTGATTTCCCTTTAGGGTGGGTGGGGTCGTGCTGTGGCAGCAGCAGTTCTTAACAACCTCAGCATCGGCCCCTCCCGTCTTTAGTCGAGTAGCATCGATGAAATGTGCTTAAAAGTTTTTCCTCCTTTTGTCACGCCACATAATTCACGGTACAACGGGCCGATCATGTCTC